CATCAGTGTGATAAGTACATGTGTTTATTCTGGAAAATTTATTCCTAACACTCCTTTCTAAATCACCTACATAATAGGCTTAGATGATGCTGTGACAATTAGTAAATTTAATTGGAAATATACAAATCCTTTTTGCACATTTGATTCATAAAACCTATAATACTATTCATATTATGCTAATGATTCATTAATTTCTGGTGACGATCCCTATAAGTTAAAAGGAGACTCGCTTTAAGTAAAAACTTAAAATTAATAATTGGATGGAAAAGTTGATAATATTTATATTTAAGCTACTATTTATTAAAACTTTCCTGCTGTAATTCAAATTCAAAAACAATAATATAGCATTGCATTTAAGCATTGTCAGTAAGATACCTTAGTTATTAGCTTATAAAATATATCAAAAGAATATTTGATGAATGGGAATTTGCTTAAGATATCTTATCCTAAACCAATGAGAAATAATACTTATTGTGGCGAATTCAGTTATACTTTTTAGATTTACAAAGATGGAGATTTATTAGTTGAACAGCCAGAATTTATGACGATAAATGCAACTAACAATGAAATTTTAATCTAAACTAGTAACTATGGTTTTACAGGGTATTACAACGTAAAAGTATAATTTACTGACAGATTAGTGAATATACCCCAAAATTAATTAGATCTACAGAAATTCTTTATAAATATTAATATGACAAATGATTGCCATCTATAAATTTAGCCAGAAATTTAGTTCACTGAACCTAATGAATACTATTTTGGCAAATAAAACATAGTAAAATATGAAGTTATTCAAAGGCCAGATATAATTGCAAAATGTGGGGATCTTTATAATTTCCTCCAAATAGAAAACTAAAATTTAACTTAAAATGAACAAAGTGTGATTAGTCCAACTGGAATTGAGTATCTTTTATACCTATAACCTCAGAACTAGATACTTATTACTACATTTAATACTTCAGCGATTGGATTAAGATTTTAAATCTACTTAGGCGTTTACCATTAATACAGCAAAATAAAAATTACGATAAAAATACTTTGGATTAAATTTGTTGTAGATTGCTTAACCAATGAGCTTCATATACCTACTTAAAATGTAGAATCACAAGTAGAGCATATTATTGAAAATTAACAAGAAACTGTTTTTACCACAGGATTCATTTGGAAATATAATCAAAGTATTTGCTTATAAAATTACACTTACGAAGTTTCAGATGGTGATTGTAATTTAATAGAAGGGAGTATTAGAGACAAACTTTCATTCAGCGATGATTCGTAAACAGTCACTATTAATACAAATCTATTAATTATCAGTTAAAGTTGCACAGCTTAACTTATAATTTCTAATATATAGACATCCAATTAAGCTAGTGTATTTTAAGTTACTCATAATATTAGATTTAAGACATGTATTGATGCATATTTTTTAGAGGAAAAGAAGATTCCTAGTTATATCATGGACATTGTAAATATTGGAGATAGCTATATAGTCGATTTAGGATAGATTTTATCAATGAATGAGTGCCTTTAATTTGGCACATATTCCATTTTGAATTAAACAGATAACTAATTGATATCCAATTCTAATTCTTTATTAAGTTATGATGATCAAACTGGCAAATTGATAATTAATAACCCTAAGGATGATAATTTGATTTAAAACTTATCTTTAAAATACATTATGACTTAGGGCATTAATGCCAATGTCAAAAAATAATATAATTATAGTTTTGTAATCTAGATGATAAATAGTTGTAGACAAGAAACAAGCATAACTAAGCCAAATATAAGTAGCTAAGACATATACATAATCATGAGTAATTAGTAGTATATACAATTTAACTTGGATTGGAAATATGAAAATGCTAATTGCTCTGTTTATAATTTGACTGTTGATATTTTAGAGGGAAGTGCAATAAATGGTTGGTGGCAAATTTAGAATAGCGTATTAATACTAGGTACTCCAGATTAAAACAATGCTTCTGGAAATTTCGTCTTTATAAACTATGTAAACTATGGTTATGGATTAAAAACTAATTTTACATTCAAAGTTCAAATTAATAAGACATGCAAATCAAATAAGTATAGTAAACCTTAAGATATTGGTAGCACTATGGAACTATAATATAATTTGAACTCTGGATTTCAGCCGATACCATATTATTTCACTTAAGAACTCTCTTATTGTGATAATTTCAAGAATATAGTCTAAAAGTAACCTCCTTACTCTAATAATATCGGAATTCAACATCAGGATTTTAATAGCACACATTTTCTACTATCTATTGAAGGTGAAGATCTTTATGGTTAAACGATACCCATAGTGATAGAGGCTTATCTCAGGGGAGCATTTAAGGAAAAAATAACCTTAAACTTTAAAATTTTACCTTGTAAGTTATATACAATCAAACCGAATCCTATTGATATTTTAAATTATGAAAATTAGCCAAAATTTTTCATGATAAGAATGAAAGATTTCCTAAAAATCGAGATATCTCCATTCATATAAGACAATAAATGCAATTTTAAACTTGAGTATCAGCAATCAAACTCTGTTCTTACTTCTAATGAGCTAACTTTGTAGGAACGGACAGATCAAATATTTGAATATCATTTCAAAACAGATAATAAGAAATTAGCTTTACTTGGTCCTATAATCTTCCAAATAAAAGCAATTTCAAAGGACTATTTAGATTCTGTTATCAGCACACCATTGAATGTATCTATTTAAGTACAGTAGTTTAATTCTTAGGGACCAAAGTTTTATAAAAAGTTAGAAGTTCTGAACATATTTCCTGGTGAGACTAAATACTACGAATTTCCTGATGTGTTCGACTTTGATAATGATTAGTTAAAAGAAGTTTAACTTTTGTTATTTAGAGCTTAAGAATTTGTATTTGGGTCTTATCCAAAGTTACTAATTACACCTGAGGAAAACCACATTAGAAATTATTCTATAAGGGTAATTTTGACAGATGATAACATAACTCCATTTCAATCATCATATAGTCTCAAAATAAATGTACTTAAAATTCCTTAAGAAGAATCATCAGAATCTCAATAATAGGTAATTAGCGAATTTTAAGATGGTTACGTAATTAATCAGCCTACATCAAATGGAAAAGCACTCAATATTAAAGTCTTAAAGCCAAAATTAAAGAGTATAGACCTAAAAGGATTAGCCAAGATAACATTTAATACTAAAATTTAGTAACCTGATAGTTACTCTAAGATTGATAATCGCACACTCCTACTACAAATTTTTGGAAAGAACGGAGAATAAAAAAATATTTAATTCTAATGGAAAGTAGTGTCATTTTAACCATAATAATTTGACATTTAAATCATTTTTAACGATCCGTCTCTGATATCACAAGAAGTAATCAATTTTTCTGTAATTATTTATCTAGAGATTTGATAAATTGAAAATCACCTTCATCAAAGCTTAAGTCTTTTATGATGTATAAACAGGTAGGAGATTGAGTTAGAATACAGTTTTAGAATCAGAGATACCTTAATAACTGCCAAACGATAGTATATATTTCTGCTTTAATTTATTTTACTAGTAATGACTTAAGCTTTATAAAAGGCATCTAGCTATTTGGTAAAATCACTCACAGGATTTACTTATGGAACATTTGCTCTAAATGCATTTTTGTAAGTTTAATACAGTTACCATTTTAGCACTATTGGATTATAATTCTTGTGGAGTTTAATCAATACAGTTTAGCTTATTGTTAGAGCACCACTTTAGAATTTGAATTTCCCTGCAAATGTAATATTCTTCTACAGTCTAATAATTGATCTAACAAACTTCAATGCTCTTAGCTCATACATTGATGATTAGACATTTTTCTAATTTAGTGACTAACCTACTCCTATGAATTTCTATCAAATGGATATCTTTTAAAAAGGAATTATCTAATGTAAATGTTAACTGGACAAGCTATGAAACTAAAAATGTGATCTTAAATCTAGGTTCTATGTTCTATTATTTACTTGTGATGATTCCATTATATATTTCTATGACTATATTCTAAAGGATCGCAAAATTAAATCAAAAGTATGCCATATCTATTTTTCTAAATATAGGGAAAAGGATTTTCAAGATATATTTATGGTTTGAAAGCAAACTTTACTTTAGTATTATATTGAGAGTACTATATGAGGGATATTTCGATATGACTATTGATTGTTTATTAAACATATCTGATGTAATTAATAGGCTTTTATTATCATTATCATATAGTTACAATGGAATAACCCAAGTGATTTTATTGCAACAGCATTTTCATTTCTGCTATTATTTATATGCATTTGCTTTCCAATATTGATTTTCTATGTCACATATATGAATTTTAAAGAATTGATAGAGAGAGGAATAGCCAATAGATTCGAGACCTTATTTACAGATGTTAGGTCAGATTTAGATCTAGCAATGCTACTTTCATATCTATAGATAATAAGAAGATTTATTTATGCTTTTAACTATGCTTATCTGTAAGATTATCCATGCTAATAGCTTTAAATAACTTTGATTGCATAAATATTGTTTGTGATATATTTAATTTCAGTTAAGCCATATACAAGCCGATTGATATTTAATTAGGAATTATTTAATGAAATTTGCATGCTTTTGATAACTTATCAATCGATATTATTTACTGACATTAATTATGATAACTAAATTTTAATTTAGTATAAAGTAGGCTGGTCTATTATTGCTATAAGTTTTATCAATATTGCAGGCAACACAACTGTAATGATAGTATATTCAATCTCTTAGATGAAAGGAATATTTTCTAGATTTCATGAAAGAGTCAAATAGTATTTCAAAGCTAATTAAAAATCAAACGATTATTAGTAAGATGAATAGTCCTTTGATTTTAATACTCAAACCCAAAAAACAGACAACTCGTTTAGTTACCTATAAAGGAAAGATTCTACTATTTCCTAGCTTTACATAAATACTGTAAAAGGGGTAAATGAATCTCCCATTTATGCAGAGAAAATAAAATAGATAAGTCGAAATTCAAGCTTTTTATCAAGAGAAATGAAATCTAAAGTTAGTGTTAAGAAACCTTTGAAAAGGATATTTACATTCAAACCAAAGACTCAATAGAAAATCCTAAATAAGGATAAAATATAGCAATCTATAAAATCGTAAAAGACTAAAACAAAGCCTTCATAAATTGATCTAATTGAAGAGGATATAAAGGCACTCTAAAAATAATCTGATGAATATATCAAAAAATAAGCATAAAACTTCAGAGGAAATGATGATTAAATCTTGATGCAAATTTTTAATCTTAGCCTATAGCAGAAAGAGAAATAAGTGGATATTCTACTTCAAAAACATTAAAGGAAAGATTAGATTTCAGTAAAATAGGGAATGAGAAAAAATTTAAAGAAAAACAAGTTGATACATTAGAATGATCATGAAAAATCTCAAAAGATTTAAAACTTTGTTAAGAATCGAAAGAGAAATACCTTATAATAAAATTATTCTCCAGATTTGCTAAACAATATGAATGATTAAATCATAAAGAATAACTACTTGCATATCTAGGAGTAATCTGAAACAGTTCAAAATAAACAAACTTTAGATACTTAAAGTGATTATCTCATTCAAGATATACAGCCAGTTGACTACACTTAAATATTTTAAATTGGAGATTTACCACAGAAAAGTGAATATTTTGAAAATGAGAATATTTGAAAACAATTAAATTAGTAACTAAGAAATTTATTGGAACTCCATATAATCTAAAAAACTCATTTTTATGAATGCTTTTGCTTCTTAATTATGCTGGTAGTGAATATATATTATTTATGCAAAATTTATTAATCAATTATTATTTAAATTCAGAATTATGGGGTTTTGGGGTTTTGGGG